CTTTAGCACGTAATTATCAACATAATATATACACATCTGATCAGTTATTACTACTTACCAATCAGTTTATAATAAATATAATAAATAGAAATTTACATACAATTGACAAATATCGTGAGTTTCGTAATGATTTAAATTTGATTTAAATCATGAATTCCATATTCACAGACAATGATATAATATAGTACAACTTTATCGTTCGTCAAAATTGTTCTTCCTTAGATAATCGTCTAGCGTAAAAGCGAATACAACGTGGGCAATCCGCTTTAGTAAAGTTTTGCTTACATTTCTTGTGATAACATGCACCACACATTTCGCACCTGGTAACTTTCGCGAATTCCCACGGAAATATGACGTCTTTGGAACAACATAATTCACAAACAAATCCTCTGGCTTGACAAAACTAAAATAAGAAAGAAACATTCATGTGAAATATAAACCAGTATAAATATTTTATTCAAATTAAGTACTACAATATTACCTCGCATCCTACAATATGCATATTGCACATTTGAATTAGTCCTTGTAATCGCATAGGCAAAGTACCATATTTAACGTGTATCAGATCTTGAATGGAATATACGTGAGGTTTGCTTATCATATAATTTGGTTCCTTTTTCAGTATCTCTTGAACACTGAAAGAAGAAATCGCAACTTTCATACTATGGCGAAGAAAAAACGATTAAAATCTGACCTTGACCTAAAACGAAAAATTATACCTTGTCGCGAATCTACACGTAAATAAAAAATCTTTGAAGAAACATAATTGTGTACGTAATAGCCTCGTTCTTTCTAACTGCTTTATACGCCTGTATAATGATGGATTCAAGTCATTAACTTGGAACAATGGATCTGTTGTCATTTGATCCAATAGTCTATACGAAAAGTTTGACACAGAATATCTAAATAGAAAAAGTAATTTGATAATCAAACATGTTTCGTAGAAGTTTCGTTATACGTATAATTCTCTGAAATAATGTACCTGTTGAAGTCCCATTTAGACAATATTTTCCCAGGTATGTGTGCTACTTGATTGGTATGGCATCCAGTACAAAAATATCTACCTAAATACTCACAATAACGAAATTTGTTTGCATATTTTACAGCAACTTTCATTCCACAACCCGCACAATAATAATTCTGTTTAGCTATGAGCGTTCGCCGCCTAAACATGACCAACATCATCGTACGTTTAATACAAAATTTAAACAATGTACACATTCTGAAGTTTACTAATAAACTTACACAGGTGGAGGATGCGGTGTAAAAATAATTTGAGCTCTCGGCGGAGCCCATTCCGTAGTTCCACGCAATGGAATGGATTGCGTGTTCTCTGCGTCGTCTGGATTAATTGGCCAGCTTTTAGGTAACGGCAATAATCTTTGCGGCACATCTTTTTCGGAGACTAACCATTGTAATTCACTTGCTCGTGGTAATTGTTTTTCGTTAAACCTGCTAAGGAGCGATAGAGCTACACCTTCCGCGGACATACTGCCCTCAGTTAATGTCGATTCTGTTCCATGCGTAGGAGATGATTGAAACAGATCGTCATCCGAATATAAAGATGCCATGGATACGGAAATTGCAGCGTTTCGTAATTTAAACGCATTCCGTACGTCGTCCACTTCCAAATCCTCTACATCGTCCGTAGATATATTTCCTGAGGCGGTGTCAGACGAAGTCGACAAGGGGCTGACACTTTGATCGGTAGTTGTCGTGTCTGTTTTTCCATCGCTTAACAGCTCGCGGTTCCATATCCTCCCTTTGCACCGTTCTTCTTGTCGTTCACGCCGCCTTAATCGTATCCTTTGTTTCAAGTTATTAATTTCTTCATCGCTTTCCTCGGTCGCTTCCTCTACAAGACGCCATTGTCTGTTGCATTTCACTTGCTCGATGGCAGCTATCATAGCTTCGGAAACACTGAAATGTGCATTCTCCCTGTCCAGTTCAGCGTTCGCTCTAGAAAATTGTGCAGAGGCCAGAAAGCTTGTTAAACTTTGACCTTCCGCTGGACGTGGAAAGTACCCTATCGCCATAGGCTGAACACTACTACCTCCATCTTCCATAAAACTCTTCTTCGGTGTTCTTATGTCTTTCTGACCTTCGATTTCCAAGTTCCAAGGGCCAGTGAATTCAGGTGCCGATCCCGACAAGAAAGAAGTTCTCCTTGGATTTTGAGACATCTTCATTCCAGTAGTGCTTAATTTATTTGGCACGGGAGATGGAATGCTATATTCTTTTCCCATATTTATCGGTATCTCTTCATTATTCATTACATCAGAATCTTCGCTAGATTTTTTCGTAACTTCACTCTTTCGCTTCACCTTAGTTGTACTTTTATGTCTCCGTGTTGGAGTTCTCGGTTTTACAAGCGGCTTATCCGCAACCATGGGGGTAGAATGTCTTAGTTCAGCGTAATTAAAATCTATTATTTTTGATAGTTCAGCAGATGTTTGCGATTCATTATTTTTTTGCAAGCTGCTGTTTTCACTGTTAGGTGAAATTGCGGATACGTTCTTTCCTGGACTTTTACAATTTTTAGTCAATGTCGAAAGACTGCTCCAAGTTTTTAAAGGTATATCGTTAATTTCTTTGGAACCCAATGTTTCGTCTTGATTCTTTGTAACGGAATCAAGATCATCTCGTTGCACAAAATTCTCGCCCGTTACTACTTTTAATGATTCTAATTGATACTTTTCAATATGTACAGTTTTATCCCTTGCCATACTAAAACTTGTGGTTGATAAATTGATGGGATACGAAGAAGATCGGCGATGTTTTTGCGGACTTGCTTTAGGTG